CCCCTCACCTGAATGTCCCCACATGTTCCTGTTGTTGTGAACGAGTCGACAATCTGCTACACACACTGACTACACAACATGACTACACAACATTTTTCACCGCTCATGTGTGGAAACATCTTTAAATCTGATTCATTAAATATTATAAACCATCTCAAACTTTGACGACTGTTCAAACCCTGCAGATGTTTGTTTAGATGAACTTCATGATTGTGACCTTCGTTTCAACTCTTTCACATCTACTTCCTGTTGTTTTCCTGTATAAACTCAGGAAAGAGTCTCGGTCCGTCACAACCTCGAACCTACACGAGCTTCTGTTTCTTTCGAGCCTGAAACTGCTCCGTTTTGCTTTTGATTGACTTGACGAGCAGAGACAGACTCGGATCCATGGGCTTCTTCGCCGTCACAGCATCAGAGTCACTTTGCGATTTCGTTCCCGCCACTTCCTGTTTAGCTTCGGCGGAGGCCTCTGTCCGCGTGGCCGTCTGAGCGCTGAGGTCATCGTCCCTCCGCCGCCGCTGCTCCTCTCGCCTGCGCTGCTTCTCGGCCACGATGCTCTGGGTGGCTCTGGTCTTCTTGAAGCTGGGGTGGGACGGATCCAGGTTGAACAGGTGCGACGTGAACATGGCCTGGAAGCGAGGGTCTTTAACATCCACCTGCATGGAGACAGGAAGAGGCGTGTCACTGAGGAAAACTACCAATAAGAAGCTTCATGAGTAACGTGAAGGTGAATCAACGAGATTTAATGACGCGAGGAAGCAGCAGTGAACGTCTCGATCATATTATTACTTTATAATTCATTCTGTTTCAGGAGCAATATATTTATTTTCAGTGTTGGTGGATCTGTTGATGGACTCAGATGATAAAGATGCATCATGTTTGTTCAAGTGTAAAAAATAACTAAGAACTGCTTCGTCTTTGTTTCGTTGTCTCTGATTCACTGAGATTTGAAGTATGATTGTGTAAACGATGAATATTTCTACTACGACTTCACAGTTCATCGATATGAATAGAGCTGAAATACAAAATAACATCTTTCAGTTATTCGTCTGAACCGCTGCTGTAAGAAGCTGAATTCAATCTCTTTAAGAAACTGATGTCGTCCGTCTGTCGTTTTAAATAAAGTTCCACTCGAGGATTTTACCTGGAAGTGGTCGTTCTCCAGAGGCTCCTCCCCCTTCTTCAGCAGCTTCTTCCTTTTCTTCTTGCTCAAGTTCTGCTGCTCCACGATTTGATCAAAGTTAAAGTGTTTGTGCTTCTTCTCGTCTGCGTCGTCCTCCATCAGCAGACTCATCTCCGCCTACACACACACAAGAGACACACACACACACACAAGAGACACACACACACACACACACAGAGACACACACAGAGACACACACACACACAGAGACACACACAGAGACACACACACACACACACACACAGAGACACACACAGACAAACACACAGAGACACACACACACAGAGACACACACACACACACACACACAGAGACACACAGAGACACACACACACACACAGACACACACAGAGACACACACACAGACACACACACAGAGACACACACACACAGACACACACTTTAGGAAACCAGTGTGACGTCTGATGCAGGTTTGATGATGTCACATGAGATGAACCTCTGACCTTTTGTTTCTCCAGCTCTTCTTCCTCCTCAGCCGTTCGCTCCTCTTCCTCCAGCTTCTTCTTCTTCTTCCTCTGTTTCTTCAGATCTGCAGACACACCAGATGAAACTGAAAAGTCTGAACCAATCAAGGTGTGAACGGGTCCTGAAGCCCGTGACTCTGCACTCTGACTCCTGATTGGCTGATGGATGAACGCATTAATATATGGGTGTTCCTAATAAAGTGCTCAACACAGCAACAAAATGAAGCTGTTCTCTCTTCGGTGGTTCAAAGTCTTTTCTAAGAAAGAAAACGTTCCAGTGTGAATCAGACCATTCGTTGATTGTTTGATTGATTGATTGATCACCTGTCGCACCGAGCTCCTCGGTGAAGAAAGCTTCGCTGAGGTCAACGTCTGGAGGAAGTTCATCGTCGCTGAGTTCGTCCTCTGCCGCCTCCTGGTGGAAGACACAGAAACAATGAATAAAAGTGTCTCAGCTGTTGATGAAGACGTTCAGACACTGAGCGCCGGTCAGAGCATCGCTTCTACTCGCCTGTTTGTTCTGAGATTTCTTCTGCTTCCTCTGCTCCTTCTTCTTCTGCAGGAACTCCTCCCAGGGCGTCAGCTCGTCCTTCCCCTCCAGCTTCTTCTTCACCAGCTGCTCCGTCGTCTCCTTCAGGCCTGAACACACGACACACAGGTCAGTGGAATGAACCCTGATGCTTATTCTGAGGCCGCCTGTGACATCTGGACTTATTATTGCAGTTAGGGCAGAGTGTGGTTGGGGTTTAAAGACAGAAACAAATATATA